GAATAATATCATTAAAAGATATCAATTTAACGAGGAATATTCTTCATCTTAATCAGTTTCGCCGCTGCAATAATAAACTGTAAAGAGGAATTTATCACAAGCGTGAAGACATTTTCATTTTAGTATAATTTTGATAATCCTGCACTTAACAAATTTTTATTGTTAACAACATCACGGGTGAATTTATTTATTTTGAAATTAATGGAAAATTATAGAGAATATTTACACAACTCGAGGTTGAAAAACAACCAAAGCAGCCTAAAACAAACTACACCTAACAATCACGACTGCATTACCTCAGTCTGGAGTTAGGCTCTTTCTTGACCACCAAAAGAATCGAATTATTTTTTAATAGTGTAAGGTTAAGGGTTAAGCAGCCCCAGTGTTCAACTCTTGGCTCCCCTAACCCCTATTATCTGCTCCCATCTTCGTGTTGACTTTGCCGCTCCCGGGGAAGAAGATCGATCACGTTTGGTAGCTGCCACCTTAGAGCAAATATCTGCGGGGTTGAGGGTATATAAGCAATCCTGTGATGTTGGTGCTATATATTGGCGCCAACCCTGTCGTGTTGGTGCATATCAGCACCAACCCTCTCATGTTGGTACATATCACTTCCAACCCTCTCATGATGATGCATTTCAGCACCAACCCTGTAATGTTGGTGCATATCAGCACCAACATTCTCATGTTGGTGCATTTCACTTCCAACCCTCTCATGTTGGTGCATATGAGCACTAACCCTCTTATGTTGTTGCATATCAGCGTAAGCTAGGATCAGGCTTGCTTGTATGGCATTCTTACTAAGCGGTAAAATGATTTCAGAGAACATTTCCTATTAATTTCTAATGGAATGAACACAATATTGTAAACTCTTCATTTGATGAGAGTCGCTCGTAAAATCTGTTGATTATTAAAAATAACCCTATTAAAACTGATCAATAAGTCATCTAATGCAGTGCAGCAATTGAGAATATATATGGTCACAACACGCCGTCACGACTGGCAGTACGAAATTATAATACGAATCCAGCCTATGTATCGTTAATAATTAAATAGCCAAATCTGCTCTATATTTCCTATTTAAAATTTTTTCAAGGTTTTAAGATTCATCTGTCTTCGTTGCTTCGAACCATTTGGGGTGCAATAAAAAATAATGCTGACGCACTTACAAGAAAAAAAGGCATAGATCAAAATAATGTGGTTCATGCAAAAACGTTCGTCTTTTAGATTGATTTTACTATAATTAAAAGATAAAAACGAATTCTTTCATCGAAAATATGAACCCTAAATTAATTAGATCAGGAAAAAATCTGCTAACCGCTGTCAAATCCTGAGTTTACCATAATGGGGAAATTGCGCTTCCAGCTCTTCCATTAGGAGTCAATTTTCGGTCTTCGATTTCGCAACAAATTTTTCAATATCGTAAAAATTAATTGGTTGTAAGGTAAAGGACTACTAATCGACCACTTTTGTACGGATGCATTGACCATCGTCAATTATATTCGTACCAGAGGTATGGCAACAAGAGCTACCGCCAACAGACAGAGAGTAAACACGTAATTTCATCAACAAACGCTTAATTTAAAGGATGGACGTGATCATCAATAAATTACAGTATCAAAATTTTGCAATATTAATTTATTTCAGTATAATAGTTCATATATAAAGTTTCCAGCTAATCAACATGATAAAGAGGCATTTATATTGAGATTATCGATAATCATTGCCTACCTGAATGCATTTGCCGAGAACTGCATCAACATTTTTATAGTCCTCCCAATAATAGATGATGACCTCTACAAACCGCATATAATTTACAATAACATAAACTATGGCTGCTCTATAGAATATTTACCTGTAGCAGCTACTAAGATCTTGCGTATCACAATGCAAGATGCGTACGAGGGATCTACATAATAGTGCTGTATTTCTTTCGTTACGCATGCCCTGGTCTGATGGTCGGTTGATATAGGACCTGGTAACTCTTATTATGGACCTGAGATGCGATAGCGAGCGATGCTTATCGCGTTCAGCAATGAGCCTGAGGACATCTATGTATACCCATCGAATGCTCCATCCATCTTGAGAGACTTCCTTCTGGTTAACCTTTAAATGACACAATATGATAATGATATGCTATTGCCCGCACTATCAAGGTAAAATTGTCCTCATTTTACTAAAAAAGTGTGAGCCTGTTTGCTTTCTTGATTATTGTTTAATACTCAATCAGAGTTGTCCTCCATTATATGGCGGGAAAATTTAGTTACAGCTGCTTGTTGCATTTCTGCGTACATTATTCGTTATAAGAAACGTGAAGACACTGTTTCAGAGTTTTTGATGTTTCAAAGCTCGATTCAAATTATTTTGGAATTAGTTGCTGTTACAATTTTTGTAGCTAAAAGTGTACCGATAAATATTGCAGCAATTTCGTTCGAACATAATTTCAAACTGAATATACAACTGATAGAGTGCGTGTCTTAGAAAAAGAATGAACTTTGAACCGGTATGTGATATTTGTAAGTTCATTCAATGGAGACACATGTTAATTGAACCAAGATAGTAATGGAATTATATTTATATGAACATGGTTGTTTTCAGATAAAAAACTATGACTACCAGCAATTTTTAATAGATATTATGAGCATTTGGAAAAGGCGAATGCATTTCAATCTCCGAGATTTTTGCCGATAAGATCTTGTACACGCGAAGTAATGTATGTGAGGCACCCGCATTCGACTTCCGTCGTCCTGACCCGCATTCGACTTATTAATGCACATGCAAAACAATCATTAGCTTATATTATCTTATTTCATTAAAGAATATTTTTATCTGAGTATAATCGAGGTTTGGGATCTTGTCCATGACTAGGAACGGAGTTTAATGAGCTCGGTTAAGTCATATAGTTCGCTGGCAGCATCAGTATCGCGTTGGCTTCAAACATGTTTGAGATATCGGGACAATTTTCAGAAATATTTTTTTATGCGTGAATTTGTTGATAAATGGAACTGACATAGATGAATCAATAGCCAAAAACATAACTCAAAATAATATAGTAATAAATAAAGAAGGTGTAAAATTGTTTTGGACTGTAAATTACCTTCAGCAAATTATCTCAACGGATTTTAGGCTTTATAGCACATTTTTATCTCAATTCAAGTATGCATTTCTAGCTAAGAACGAATTTGGAAATAACTTATCGGAAACATAACAATCAACAATTAGCAATTAAGCCTGTTTGACTTTAATCACCAAAGTGACAAAGTAGACTCCGAAATGAAGCGACGCGTTCAATTCAAATTCGTCATATATTTCTTAGCTAAAATTCTGTCTTCACAACACCTCGGCAATTTGTGTAAGACAGAATTTCCTTTGGCTAGCCGCGTGGCAAAGTGAGTGGCAGTCGACGTTTAAATGCGAGTCTATTTCTCATGAGAAGAATTAACCCCTACAACTAACCCTATAATTTTCATTCAAAATTGAGAATACTTGAATCATCCAGTAAATTATTATAATTGCATCAAACGACCAGCGGGAATCACGGCGTATGCTTATAAGCTGGTAACTTGTGACAGCCGAGGTGCGAATTTGTGCGCCTCTTGGGCCGCCATGACTTGTGTGACAGTCTAACAACCGACCTCGCCGCCCCAGCGGACTAGTATTTTAAAGCAAGAATCTCTCTCAGCATTTTAGATTTTCGAGATCCTGAAGGCACCTTCCCATATAAAACCCTTTTAGGCATAATGTGTAGCTTAATTATACGGCTGCACTAAATAGGTTTATTTTTATTCTTTAATTTGACGAGGTACATTTAATCACAGGTTTATTTTCTTATTTNTCAATTCTAATGTAATACAATAAGACGTTATCGTTTTCTCAAAATTAACCCACGCACTAGTTAGTCACTAGCGCGCAGGAATACCACGATGTAGCCGCAACGCTACCTTAATTGGCGCTCTATCGCCGGCAATCGCGCGATTCTTCCGCGGGCGCACGACGCTAATGGAGCCTCCGCAAAAGAAACGAGTAAGTCAGAAATTGCAGGCCTTCATAACGTGCATATTAAGTGCACCGACAATCTAACTACCGGCCTCTTCGATGCGTATATGTGAAGGGCTTTGCTATGAATATATGCTGCGTACTGATAACCATGCATGAACGCAGCTGATTATCGCGTGCATGGATGAACATTGTGGATGAGATCTTATAAAGCGCTTATTAAAGGGAAAGATTAATTGTCACACTCAGATGTGAAATAATTTCTTCGACCTTTACTAGCTAATGCCCAAACCATTTACATTATTTTGCTCGGAGGCTCTCTCGGGATAAATTCCATATGCATTAGCCAGGTTGAGCCTTTTACTTAGAATTGTCGTGTGGCTGTTTTACTTTAAATAATGTTTGCTGGTCCATATGATAATCCGAAATTTCTTATTTCTCTGAATATATTCAGTCATAATTTATCTAATGAATTTAATCCTGAAGCGTTAGATTTGAGGCTGATGATTTTTTTAGTTAATCAGCTCTAAGAACCACACTCGTCTCCGTTAACCAGTTTTGAAATTAAGCTGTAATATTTCGTTAGGTGACTAGATGCTGCATAACTTAGTTACCACAGTGCAGTGAGCGATCATGGTTCTTCTATTAAATTTTAACCTCTACGAACCTAATTTAAGCAGTTTATAACCTATATTTGTATATTGCACAGATAATTAACCTATATTACCTCATGTAGTAATGCCGTCGTATAACGCATGAGCTTTGGTTTAATTTGATGTCACCGAGTAACTCAGGCTGAAACAATTCAAATAAATTACAACAAACGCCATCGTCTCCACTGTCTCAATCTCAGCCCAGTAACTGCCATGCAATCGATATAGACAAGTGCCACTATAACGTCTGCCATTTCCTCTAGCGTTCAAACATAACACAACACAAACGATCAAAAATCGTGGAATTTTGGGTACAATTAATCCATCGACTTTATCTTCCATACGACTGCTATGTTAACTGGTAAGTTTAAAATACTATTAAATAATAAATTTGCCCATCGCAAAAAAGTCAAAAACCCGCCCAATGATTACGAGTAAAATATAAGAAATTCACGACTATCTCAATATCGTATAGTCAGAACCAGGAGATTAATAGCAATTATTCATGTCTCTCTATTACTTGGAAAATTTTATCAATGACCAGTCGCTGATGTCAATCTGAAGATATTACATTTCAAGATGTAAAAAATACTTTACTTTAATGTTTGTTTGATCGGTCATCAGTGATCCTTGCATCGTATTAACCAGGCGAGTGGAAGAATGTTTCAAGTGCATTACGATATTCTAGGAGTCTTTTATCAAGATAAGAAACATTTATACTGGCATCAAATGAACGGCCTCCTTTCCAGACTCCTCTTATAAGTTCTTGAGCATAAAAATCATCCTTCTAACGAATCGCACCACCTCAAGTTCATTATAAATCTTTTAATGTTATTTATTGGGATGAAAAGAGCAAGTTTTGGTTCACAAGCTTGCCGCAACCAACGAGTCTTGCCGGACACGCAGACACAAAACGCGACAGGCGTGCATAATCGTGGCCAACCGCAACGCATGCAGGTTCATCAGCCATTTAATTTGTCGGGTCAAACTCAGGCCTTTGAGACGAACCCTTGCTCGGTGTTATACTGACGGTTGTGATTATGGCTGTGATACTGACGGTTGTGATTATGGCTGTGATACAGACGGTTGTGATCATGGCTGTGATACAGACGGTTGTGATTATGGCTGGGATACTGACGGTTGTGATTATGGCTGGGATACTGACGGTTATGATTATGGCTGTTATACTGACGGTTATGATTATGGCTGTGATGCTGACGGTTGTGATTATGGCTGTGATACTGACGGTTGTGATTATAGCTGTGATACTGACGGCTGTGATTATGGCTGTGATACTGACGGTTATGATTATGGCTGTGATACTGACGGCTGTGATTATGGCTGTGATACTGACGGCTGTGATTATGGCTGTGATACAGACGGCTGTGATTATGGCTGTGATACTGACGGTTGTGATTATGGCTGTGATACTGACGGTTGTGAATATGGCTGTGATACTGACGGTTTTATTTATGGCTGTGATACTGACGGTTGGGATTATGGCTGGGATACTGACGGTTGGGATTATGGCTGTGATACTGACGGTTGTGATTATGGCTGTGATACTGACGTTTGTGATTATGGCTGTGATACTGACGGTTGTGATTATGGCTGTGATACTGACGGTTGTGATTATGGCTGTGATACTGACGGTTGTGATTATGGCTGTGATTCTGCCGGTTGGGATTATGGCTGCGATTCTGTCGTTTATGATTTTGGCTGTGATTCTGACGTTTATGATTTTGGCTGTGATTCTGACGTTTATGATTTTGGCTGTGATTCTGACGTTTATGATTTTGGCTGTGATTCTGACGTTTATGATTTTGTCTATGATTCTGACGTTTATGATTTTAGCTGTGATTCTGTCGTTTACGATTTCGGCTGTGATTCTGACGTTTATGATTTGGTCTTTGAATCTGACGTTTATGATTTTGGCTGTTATTCTAATGTTTATGATTATGGCTGTTATTCTGACGTTTATGATTTTGGCTGTAATTCTGACGTTTATGATTTTGGCTGTGATTCTGACGTTTATGATTTTGGCTGTGATTCTGACGTTTATGATTTTGTCTTTGATTCTGACGTTTATGATTTTGGCTGTTATTCTGATGTTTATGATTTTGGCTGTGATTCTGACGGTTATGATTTTGGCAGTGATTCTGACGTTTATGATTTTGGCTGTGATTCTGACGTTTATGATTTTGGCTGTGATTCTGACGTTTCTGACGTGACGCCTTGCAACTTACGGACCAGGCAATAAGTCCAGCAGCTATCTCAATCAATCGTCAGCTATGGAAAGATCGGGTTCCAATGGCCGGATCCCTTGTGAATCAAGTCACAAAAAGTACTTGAATCGGCAACAGGCTATGGGGCTATTCGAATGTTATCTCATCATCGTTACGTTCAGTTAGCAGTGCCACATCATGTAAACACTCCGAATGCGAGTAGAATTCGATCGTTTTGAAATGAACAGATTCGAGTTCTGGGAATGGTTTTGTTCAAGTTTAACGCCCCTCCAGGCTATTAGCTTTTTAATGAGCGTTCAAGTTGAAATAAAACTTTGGTAGGTCCGACGAAGTTTATATACTGCATTTGTAATGGGCAGCATTACTTTAGGTAACGAGATAGCCAAACTGATCTTCAATTAATAAGAATAATTTTGAGGTCATAATAATTTTTTAGAGAACACATGGCACGCTAATCGTTTCGACAACCTAAAAAGTGATCATTGAAATAGAAGACATAATCAAACCTAGTTTTAATTCAAATATTTGAAGATTGGACACATAATGAATTTTAAAATTTAAATTCAGTTAAAAGCAGAATACAATCTTTTAGGAAGAATCCAAAACGTTTGCCTTGAGCATTTACCTTATTTGCATGTAATGCAGCTAATTTCACAGTAGCTGAGCCAAAACTTGCTTCTGCCGCTATTCGTTTAAGGTAATCTAGTTTTAAGCGATGCACAGAAGCTCGCATGATCATCTTAACTTGACAGAACTGGAACTCTAAAGCATCTCAGGCGCTGGTATGTCATGTAAAACAGATCTTGCACTAGCGATCCCGACGAAGCTTTTTGACCATTCCGCATGCATGAATAATTGAAGAAGTTCTTTCGGTTGAAGCTTTACAACCTGAGACTACGCATTCTTGTATCCACTCCATGATGATTTTATTCCTACTTAATTGAGTCAATTTCGGCAGTAGAGGGCCAATTCACGCCGCCCGCCGCAAGCAGCCTGTCTCACTCGCTACGAGTTGAGATCGAGCGAGTGCCTACTGTGCAATAGACGCCAGGCGTTTCAGAGTCGTCCCATATACGGCCGGCGGTCGGCCGGCGCAAACACGGCCCTAAGTGTCCATCGAGTTAGAGAAGAAATGCCGAATATTTCACGGCTGATGACTTCATGCTGTGCCATTCTATTCGTTCTGACCCTGCTTCTTCTGTGGTATTATTCAAATGAATCGGATCAAGCTGGTGGTCGCCACTACAGTGATATCATTTAATTGCATGGCTCACGAGCAAATATTTTTTCCAGCTACTTAACTTGTGGGTTCTTGGATCTAGGAGCATGTAATTAGAAAATCAGTAGCTTCGAAATCCATTGTACTTTTTTCTAATTCATTTGCATAAGCTATGTGCCTGAATTCCTGGCAACCGCCCCTTGTTTGGTCACATTTCTTTTTCTTTCTTACCAGAACATTGAAGTTTTTTAACCAATATGGCCCATCTTACAAGTTGGACCATAACTGAAGAGTCGGCCATAACCGAAGTAAGCCGAAAACTTTAACTTTAGTCAAGAAAATTGGTCAGCGGCATAAATTTCGACTCGGATCACGCTCGTTGAGTGCATAAAGATAAAAGCATGACACAAATTCATCCAGAAGAGACATGTAAAAGCGGAAACATTGGACCGAAAACTCTGACTTTAAGCAAGATAATGGGCATGTGGCGTAAATTTCAACTCAGATCACATTCAATGGATTATGAGTAATAGCATGACGGAACTTCATTCATAAGTGACAGATAGTTGAGTATAAGTTAGAGCAATGGTAGTGAAGGTAGTGCCGTTTGGATGACCGCCCGCGTGTTGGGCCCTCAGGACAACCTGCCATCGAGATGCTATTACGATGGTTACCAATCGATGCCGATTGTTAGGTACACAAACTGACAGGGATTGTTCCCCATGATAAGGAAGTAATGTGAATTGTTACTCCTAAGAAAATACTGATGCCGATTCCTATGGATTTTAAATTCTGATGCCGATTGCTGCATAGGGAAAAAATGTGTTGGTTTTGTACTGAACCATATACCCATTCAAAGCGTTTAGCTAAGCAGTAGAAAACGTATTTCATTTTAACAATGAAGTTTCAAATTTAGTTGATGTCATATGGAGGTTTAGAAATCAATTTCAATTTGAACGCTTCATTTTCCGAGCGCTGGATTCTGTTAAAATCTTAGTTTGTTAAAAATTAAAAACCCATGCAGTGTTGTTCGTTATTTGCCTTAACTATGTTCGAGATTTGTCTGAGATTGACTAGTGTTCACGTTGCTCGAGTTAGTTAGGTAATCCATGAACTTGAAAATCCTGTCTCGAAAATCATCGTCATTCCATATCCCATTATCCCTAATCCAAAAATAATATTTTACACAACAGCTAAAATTTTAGTAGTGAAAGAAAGTTTGGTATCTTTCCATTGGACCAAGTCTGATGCAGAAACGAGTCATGACAGCTTTCTTAAGTCCAAAAATCAACACTTCAAAACTATAAAGATAACTAAAAACCTAATATATATTTCACATGACTTTAAAATATAAAATATACGTAAAAATCAATAAATATTCAAGCTGAATATCAATACGAGTTCATATAACTTTCGATTTGACCGACCGTTGATTGACAGGCAATGTTACAAGGAAAGTTTTGCCAGACTTCACTGTTAACATCACAAGTAACTAATGATAGAACTTTCGCTACGATCTACTAGCCAAGCCACAGATTATTTATGGACATTTATGCATAAATTCCTGAGAGCTGTCGACTCTTGGTATGTTTGTTGCAGTTAATTGACAAGCTGGTAGGGGAGTTCATTGCGTGCCAACTCATTGACATTGTATTCCTGACACGAAAAATTCAATAGCGCCTTGGAAATACCGAGCGTCTTCTTGCATTCATAAACAACTCAGAATTTTTTCAAGGTGTTTTACGGATAAAGAATCAATGCCATCAAAAACAGATATTTAATGTTGCACGGCATCTATAAACCTTGGTTCACATTCAACCTAACAATTTCTGTTATAGCGATGAGGGTTTGAAAAATGATTACAACTATATTGAAAATTTTAAGGCCGGGAATATGGCGCTTGATCACTTACCGTAAAAAAGATATCGTGAACTTCCAATTAGCTGCAAGACATTTTAGATATTTTAATTCCTATTCCTATTGAACGATGATACTTTTAAACCTCGAAAAAAAGCCTTCTTCTTTGCCGAAAGAAGAAGGCAAAGCTAACATTTCTAATATAAAAATTGTTTAAAGGTCAAATAAATGGATTAGGGGCGTCCAAATAATTAAGCTGGAAAAATTAGAATATTTTCATGCTCCAGTGCCAATTCCCCCATGCAGGAAGCTTCGTCCGATTCATTCTCACGCTGTTCCTAACCTACCACTATTCGCAGCTATACGTAAGCAAGAACGTTATCAAAGGCCACGGGAAACCACATAATAGAACCTCTTCGTGCTAGGCATGTCGCGTGCCACATGTTCGAAACTTTGTAACTTTGTTATGAAAGTTGCATTTACACACACCTGTGATTATTGCTCACACCGATGCTCTAAAATGGGGTTTTTGGTCGTAGATTTGGCACTTTAAGGCCTTCTAAGGAACGTTCCAACACACCCGATTAAATGGAAAAGCCTGCTGAGATGCAGAATGCAAGCTCCATTGATCGGCACGATACTAGAGCGCTGTACCATTAGTGCGATAGTGGGTGGCGATATGGCCGCTCACTGCCCGACTTATCGCACGTATCGCTACCGTAAAACAGCCTCGCGACAGCCACGACACCGCCCCATGGTGAGCCATGGCGCCGAATAAACGGCTCCAGGTCCCAGATAATAAAAAGAATTACGTGCCATGTAACACCACCAAACTGCTCTTGTTAAAACAAAACCTGAATAGTGATACCCGAATACCAGGACACCGGGCGCTAGTTTTACTAAAAGTATTTGTACTGCATGAGTGGTTCGCATGGTAAATCTCATGGATAATATACTGAATATATTCAGAGTAAATTCAATATTCAAACTCATCTGCGCTAAAAACCTCGGTATTACGAATGTGCCACCTGAGTATTAATTCTGCAAGAAAAAAACTAATTGACTGAATAGAATTTCAGTAGAGATAGTCAGCGAATTTTCAGAATAAATACATTAAACTTAACGAAACTCTGCAAAGGGCGTGGGAGACAGTACACTTCCATTTGTCTAGAAAGCCTCCACAAACACACATCCATCGTCGAAGGCTTCATGTAAGACGTGAGTGTCAGAAACAATTTCCTACTTCACCAAGAAAACCTCTGCAACGATATTTCAATGGCACAAGCTCCAGAAATATTTTACTGACGAAGGAAGGCTTTTTTGTGACATTTGAGTGTCATAAACAATTTTTCAGGCTTTCAGCTCACGCCGGATGCGTCGGTAAAGTTCCAATCTTTGGGGGTCATTAAGTGGGCGGCGAAGTCTGGATCGCAGCGCGTCTGAATATTAATTCTTTGCGATGCTTCGTGACGCGCGTGGCGCGAGCATCGCGGCTCTGGGTGACAGGCGGCAAATTGCGGCGTGCAGTGTCCCGCTGTGGGACCCGGGGGGGACCGGGGCGCTGGGTGGGGGGCGCTATATGCTGGGTAAAAGTACAGTAAGGGTTGCTGGTTGGAGGAATTGTGGAACTGCTGCAAGAGGTAACTGTGAATTATTTGATGGCAATTTGAGTGGCATTTTGATTTATATATATTAATTTTTTATTTCTGGGCAGAGTTGCTACACTTGGATTGATATAGAAATGCGGTAGAGAACTCATCAGGTGTCAATATTAAGTTTATGAATTTAAAGTGCTTGAATTTTAATAAGCATTGAAAATTAATTTTAAAATGCAAGTAAAATGAATGCTTCAATAACTACCTTTATAATATGCGACTGCATAAAGTATTTTAAACGTATTAAGGCATATGGCTCCAGTTTTATCGTTTCAATTCAATA